CCCCCCCCCCCAACACCTCGAGTCTCTTCTTCGCTTCCGACCCGTTCTCTGCCATCCAGCGGCAGCCTGGCCTCCCGACGGTCTGCAAAGTTTTGACGTCGCCTAGGGACTACTCTGCTTAGCTTCGACGTTTCTATTGCTTCGTCGACCTGCGCTGCTGCCACGTTGCTCTGCCTTGCGCTCGAACTGGAACTCGCACACTCGGTTAGGCGTCTCGCTTTGCCAAGCATCGCGTCGACGGCGTCTTCTTTCATATCACCTTCGGCACCCCTCAACAGCACGCACACAGGGGCCGCAGCGACACGACAATCGCCTCGACCGGCGTACGAGCAGGCGCCTTGCACGCTGTGATCCACTCCGACGGTTCACACGCGATTCGCCCACAGAGCCAACTTCATTTCATCACACAAGGTTGTACCGCCTGAACTTTAACTCTCTCCCCCTCCCAGCCGCTCCCGCGCTCCCTCTCCCTTTCAGCCTCGGCGCTGGTCGGTCAGCCTCCTTTCGACCGTCTTCGAATTCCCTGTTCTGGGCCGCAGCCCACTGCACTCCATCAGCATCGACTCCTCTGCTTCCACGCGGTCCCACCCAGCCACCTTCTTCGCGACGCACTGCGGACCGACGGGTCCTTGGCTCCTCAAGAGAGCCCAGAATCCCCCCACCCCTCCCGACGGATTCAAGGCGGCATCCTGCGCATCTTCAGCCGCATCAGTGAAGAAGCTCGTCAAGTGCTCGGACGACCGTAGCGTGCAGCTGCTTTCTATCTCCTCTCGGACGCACTCGTGCATCGATCACGCATGCTCGCACGCGCCAGTAGCCACAAGTTCAAGGTTCGCCCACTGCATAACCTCCTTTCTTACGGCTGCAGCTTGCACAGACCATTGCTGACCCGGCTGCCCCTCACACGTCTCCGCGAAGCGGACAAGGCCGGTCATTCGGATCGATCACAATCTGCACATCGGCACTTCATATCGCCAATTTTGCGAAGAAGCCGAACGCATCGCCTCCGCTTTCGTGCGGCGAAGCGACTCGCGAGCCCCCTGCCCTTGCTGCGCCCCTTTGCATGCCTCCGACGCCTGCCTCCTCGTCTCGCAACAGTGTTGTCTGTCACCTCCGTCGGCAGCGGCGTGTATAGCCTCGGATAGATCGCTCCGAACGCCGAGTGGAGCGTCGTGGGAACGCGGCCATCACCTCAGCCGCACTTCAGCTGATCCGCAATCGATCCCCAATCGCAGCATTCTTGTCAAGCTGCCTCCTTGGACATCGCTTCGCCCTTTGCCCTGGCCTCGTCAACGGATCAGGTCACACACAGAAACGGTCGTGCAATAGCTGGATCTCGAGCTCGGTTGTCCGAGGACCCCGTACGACCCCAGAGCCAATTACAGGCTGGCATTGCAACCTCTGACACGAAATAACCTTAAGCTTGTGTTGCGCAACCTTGTTCTGGCACACGCGCTGCCGCACGGAGGCGGCTCTCTCCTCCTCAGCGTCATCAATCTCGGACCGCTCGGCACTGCCACGGCACCGCAAGGACACGGAATTCAGTACGCCTGCCGTCCCTGTCTTGGCGCTCGAAAGCAGAGCCGTCTCCCGGCCAACTCGGCAGCAGCGCCTGGGCTCTCGAACTCGGAGATAGACCCAACGCAGCGGTACAGTACTCAAAGATCCCCCAGACGGCAAAGCACGTCCTGTTGTTGTCGCCAATCTTTTGCTGCTAGTCCCACTCGCCCGGCCCTCCCTACGACGGCTGCCTGCGCCCGCCCAGTCCAAGCCTCTGCCCATCCTACCCTTCTCCGCTCCGTCGGCTTCCTCTTTGACTCGGCTTCCCCCCATCCCCTGCTTCGACGAGCTTGTCCTGCACAAGGTTTCGACTCGACCTCGATATATCGGTTGCCCGGTGCTGCGAGAGCCTGCATTGCTCCTGTCACCGTCGCCTCTCCGCGGATCCGGTTCTACACACGATTCTGCCGCCCAAAACCTCCGAAGCCACCACCCGCCAAGGCGAAGCCGACGGTTGCTGGACAACGTCTGCGCCAACAGTCCCCCTGCACTTCTCTTCCTGCTTGGACAATCGCTTTGCGGCCAGCCAATCCACTGCACGTCGCTCGAGAGGATCATATCTACGCGGGAGAGACATCGCAATCCGCACTCGTCCACCCACTGCTCTATCTTCGCCCCATCTTCATCGCTTCTAAGCTAACGGCCACAAAAACATCGCGCGCCCACATCCAGAACTCAACGTCGAAATGGGTTCACAGCAAGTTGCAACATTTCATGGCTATGTGTAAGTGAACGCTTCGGTACTCTTCCTCCCGATGTGACACGATCCAAGGAACGTTGCTGACCTGCCCGCCCTCGCTTCTGTCGTCATCCCAACATTTTGTTTTGACCTGTACCAACAGTCATTCGACCAGGGATGCATTGCTCATCTTTGAGGCGGTCCGACGGGGCCTGATGCCCAAGATCACGAGACGACTGCGCGACGATGAGCGCAAGATGATCACGAGCGGGACTATCTTCGTTTTCGACGAGGTCGAGTCAAGCATCAAGCGGTGGACGGACGGCATGATCTGGAGCCCCAGTCGCATCCTCAACAACTTTCTCGTCTATCGCGAAGTCGAGAAAAAGGATCCAAAGCCCGCACCGGATCAACCAGCCTTCTCCACCTCCAACGCAGCCATGATGCACGGATCGTCTTTCGCTGGGAGCACAGGTCTCGACCCGTCGCACTCCTCCGTCCGTTCCGTTCCGCTGACGCTGATGCCGAACGCGATCGAATCGGATGCGCCGGCAATGCAGTACAAGCAAGAAGGTGGCAACTATGCTTCGCTGCACAGCGGCGGGTCCTCCTCGAATGCAGTCTATGCTGGACACGATGGCTTTTTCGCCAACCACGGACAACAACACCCTTCCGCATACGCGCGAGGGCATGCGCAAGCAGCGGGAATGGTGGGTTTGATGGACGATGCCGCCGCCGCCTCCTCGTCCAACGCAAAGAGAGAGGCGGAGCTGGATCGCACGATTGTCGGCAGTCTCACGAGCAGCTATCCCTTCGTTCGCGACGGTCTGTGCAAAAAGACGATCTCGATACAGGTGGAAGGCTCGACACAACATCTCATCTCGTACTACAGGGTCGACGATGTGCACAACCAACGCCTTACGATCCCCTCGAATCTGCCCGAGATCGCCGCCTTGTGCATCTCGCCGATCTTCCTCAACAAGAGCAACTTTCGCTATCCTCCCATCGTCGAGATCGGTCCAGATGGCATGCCTCGGTATGTGGCCGAGTCGACAGATGCCTCGATGCGCGCTTCCGGTCACGTCAGCAGCGGCAACGAGAGCTACTCGTCAGGGTCCGAGGCGCGGCATGAAGGCATGGGCCGAAGCAGCAGTCGCTCAATGACCATGTACACGCCTTCGGAAGCCGTGGAAGCTGCGTCGTTCGACCTTTACAGCCACCGCCACCCTCACCAAATCGGCGGCGATGGGATTCTGCCGATGTCCGCGACCTTGCCCATGTCGACGGCATCGGCACAGTCTCGGAATCGTCGGTTGTCTGACGCTCCGCGGAGGCGCGCCAATTCGAGGTACGAGCCATATCAGCAGCCAACGACGTTCGGCAACGGCATCATGACCCCGCTTCCATATCCGCAAGGGCCGGCGATGGACCACAATCCGATCTCGCCTCCTGGCCGTCGCGCGCTCCTGGGCCAGTCCCGAGGCTACGTTGAAGCCGAGCCTTTCTACGCTTCCGAGCAAGCCTCGTTCGGTATGCCTCGCCAGGACGCTGGATTCTTCGGCATGAACCCGGCTGAGCACGGCAGCAACCAGGGCAGCGGCGCCCACATGGGTCAACTCGGACAACAAGCCAATTCTGCCGAGGAGTTTCAACAGCAGGGTCGTCCCCAGCCTTCCTTTCACGCCAGCCATCTGATGCCGATTGTGCCCAGTCAGCCTGGTCGTGACCACACTGGCTACCTTGGCGAGTCCAACCTGATGCACGTCCGAGCAGAACTGATGGGTGTCAAGCAGGAGACGAGCGATATCTTCCACTTCTCCTCCCGAATGGGTCGAGGCAGCTGGGACTCGAATCAGCCGAGTCACGCGGCACCCTTCATGCACAACGTCCAGCAGCCGCCTGCGACCAGCCAAGGGTTGACAGCGATTTCGGTTCACAGCCCTGTCAATCTGGGAGGGCCTGTCTACGGTCGGTTCGCCGGATCGCCGCCAAACACAAGCTCATCCCATGACAGTCGACACTCGTACGTTGACAATGTGCAAGCGCCCACGACCGGTCGCATCGAAGAGCTCGCAGATGGTGGGCGGCCACCCACTGCTTCTCGCCTCGAAGACGCGAGCTACCTGTCGCGGCCGCTTTCGCGCGCTGAGGAGGGTGGATACGTGGGTGATCTCGACTCGGCCGGTGTGGTCAGGGCAGCGCCAGTGGACGCCTTGCAAGTCCACTCGGACCCAACGACTCCGTATCCACACGCGCACCGAACGCTGCAATCACATGCTGGCGACGCGGCAGCTGGTCTCGACTCGTACGGCCGCCTCGCTGGGGAGGCTCAAGGATCCTCGACCCTCTACGCGCATCCTGCCACCCACTTGTCGCAGGGGCATGCGCATCTGCAGCGCCAACCCGTCGATCGTCAGGGACAGGATGCACACAATACCACGCATGCATACATGCATCATGATCCTGGCATGGCGATGCCCCACGATGCTCAGTCACGGCCCTCGAATGCCGCGCAGGAGAGGAGCCGTAGTGCACCAGGTGAAGAGCAAGCTTTCCCATCGCGACCTGGGACATCCCAGGGCGATGCGTTCCACCACCAATACCGCGATGGGCACGGTGGTCAGGATACGGCGGATGGCCAAGTCACGGACGGCCTGGGACTTGAACGAGTGCTGCTCACCCGGCCCCCCTCTTGATGTGTTCTCGCGTCGCTGGAACTTCGCGCGCTCAAAATGTCAGTGCCGCTCTCCAGTCTCGCATTGCGTCCCTCGCGTCCCTCATTAGACCCCTATCGACATGGTTTCAGCGCAGCAGCGTCTTCTCGGTCTCATTGTAAGAATACCAGCATTGTCGTGGCAATCATCCGTATGCTACTGTACCGTCCATCTCGCTTTTCGGTTCTGTGTTTGTCGTTTCGTGCTGCCGAGACTCCTTCACATCATTTGCCAACGCTGTGAATCGGAGGAGACTGTCACTGTGAAGAGCCTCGGGCAGCGGTCCAAAGGCGCCAGGATTTTTCAGGGGGTTAGTCTGTTACACCGTGATTAGTCGTTGAGATCGTTTTTTTTT